TCTTAGAGGAGACTTGAACTTTTACCAAAGTATATTTATGGTAAGATATCTGTACTTTTACTCAAGTATCACTGAGGTACTTTATACCAGGGGTTCTCAAACTGGGGTCCGTGAGAGATATTTTGGGGGTCCTCAAATTTTTTTTACTAAAATGTTAATTTGGTTTTTATGTTTAAAAATGCAAGAACAATGTACTAATAAAACATAATAAACTTAATAAAATATATATTCCCGTGGCATTTAGGGGTTGAAATGTAAAAAAATATATTTTAAAACAGCATAGTGTTTAATGAGGGGGTCCCCCCCATGTAAGGGGTCCTCAGACCCAGATGTCTTGAGGACCCCTGGTTTACATCTCTGTTAATTAGCTCTGCTTGTTCTTATCTCCTCTAATTACATGTTTATATCTTAAAGCTTCAGAGCATCAGAGGAACATATTGTTAGCATGAACATGTTAAAGCTCATATTTATTTAACTTTACTTTGCGCTGCGCTCTTTAAAATTAACCATACCGATCAGCCAAGTTGTATGGTTGTGTTAGCTAAATGCTAGCAGCAGTTCAAACTTTATTTAGCCAGTGCTATGCTAGTAAAGAAGTACCTTCGTGTCTTCCACCTTCCGAGATATTTTGCTGATTCTGCTGGCCAGGTCTTCTTTCTCCAGTTTGCCGGAGCTAGCAAGCACCTCCGTCACGAACGAAGACATGCTGAAAGACGTTTTGATGTTTGAACACCGCTCTGACACATCAGCAGCACTACCCGCGAACACGAGGCCACGCCTCCTTTTTCTTCTTCGTCGTTTTCTGTCTGCCTGACGTTTGTCATCACTGCGCATGCGCGGTCGGCGCTTGTTTTCACGGAAGCACCTGCTTTGTTGTTGTTTATTTAAAATAAATGTTCGCTGTTGAATAAAAACGAGGGTTTTTTTAGCAACATGCTAAAACAGGCGTTGGTCGCGGTTTTATCGGTGATGTTAGCGGTGCTGCTCATCCCTCGGGACTGGTCTGCACCTGCGCGGCTCCTCAGCAGGCAGGAGCTGTCCCTGTACGATGGGGAGGGGGGCAGCAGGGGCCTGTACCTGGCCATCCTGGGCCAGGTGTTTGATGTGAGCAAGGGTCACCAACACTACGGTCCAGGTGGTGCTTATCACTTTATGGCAGGTGATGCTAACGAGATAAAAGTGATACACATTGATTGTACAGCAGTGTGTGTTAATGTGTTGCTTCACACTGTTTGTGTTTGCAGGCAGAGATGCCTCACTGGCCTTCATCACTGGACACTTCACACAGGACCTCACAGATGATGTCTCCAGCCTGTCCCCTCTCCAGGTGGTGGCGCTGTTTGACTGGCTGAGCTTCTATCAGAGACACTACACACCTGTTGGTGGGTAAATATGTCCACAGGTCATTCTGGCTTCAGTCTATTTCACATGAAAGATAATAATTTATACCACTGGTTCCCAAACTTTTTATCTTCTGACCCACAAAATATCCCCAATGACCCCAAATATTACTGGTCTGAGTACACAAACTTTGTTAATAACCCTAAAAACACAGGCTTTTGACCATCTAAACAGCTTGTACACAAATAT